GTTCACAGAGCCAACACTCCATTCTTCATTGGCCTTCTTAGAGGCTAACAATCTGGACGATAGCTCTTGTTTGCAGACATTTACATCTGAGGCTCTATACACTAACCACCTCAGCCATAAGGAAGCTGATGCACTGGGTTTCACTGGCATATTAGCATCAGAGGTACTTCAGATTGTCTTGTTTACTTTGAGTCTGTAGAGGCAGGTGGGAGTTTACTTTGGGTGTTAGTGCAGGTGACCCAGGGTAATACCTGTTGCATCAAAAGCATTGTAGCTCGTGCAGACTAGGTGTACATCAATTGCTAATGATACATTTGATCAAAAGGAACTGAAAATAGAACAATATGCTATGAAAGCAGATGCACATCTAATGCTTGTATGGCCCTTATAGTGTGAGCATGGGTACAGCTATTTGATGGTGTTTTATCTGATTTATGAAAAAAAAATCTTTTATACAAAAATTTCAGGTGAACGGAGATAGATATAATGATGGTAGCATCAAACATCCACTCTTAAAGCAGTCATCATTGGATCTATTGACTATTGAGACTCCTGGTTTGAAGAAACATGACAGCTTTTCAAGATGGATGAGTAAAGAACTTGAAGAAGTGGTTGATTTGGGTATTAAATCCACTTCTGATGCTTTCTGGAGTAGCATTGAGACAGTGAAGGTGCCTGATGGTTCTAATGTGCTGAGTAATGAACAGCTAGATGCTTATGTAGTGAGCCCTTCACTTTCTCAAGACCAACTATTTAGCATTTTAGATGTTTCACCAAGTTGTGCATATATTAGTACAAATACAAAGGTGCGTAAGGTGTTTTGCACTATTAATTGCTTCTATTCTTACAGTATTTATGGTTTTCACCTCCATAGACTACAGGTTGATAATTCTAATTAGTTACTTAGCAGTTTGTATTACTCATGTCTCCTTCTAGTTGTTAATTATTCTAACGATGCAGGTTTCGGTTACTGGTACATTCTTGGTGAATAAAGAACATGTGGAAAATCACAAGTGGTCATGTATGTTTGGGGATGTTGAAGTACCAGCTGAGGTTTTGACTGATGGCACCCTCCGCTGCTATGCACCAGCACATCAATCAGGAAGAGTTCCCTTTTATGTGACCTGTTCAAACAGGGTGGCTTGTAGTGAAGTGCGAGAATTTGAGTATCGTGATTCTGATGCTCAGTACATGGAGACTTCTCGTTCCCAAGCCAATGGTGTAAATGAAATGCATCTACATATTCGTCTTGAGAAGCTACTCACTTTGGGGCCAGATGACCATCATATGCTTGCTATAAGCAGTGGTAATGAGAAATATGAGATAATAAAAACTATAAATTCCTTAATGCTTGATGGGAAATGGTCAAATCAAGAATCTTCTGCTGTTAAGGAAGTAGTTTCCACTGCTAGGGTCCAAAGTTTAAAGAAACTGGTGAAAGAGAAGCTGCATCAATGGCTCATCTGCAAAGTAAACGATGATGGAAAGGGTCCCAATGTTTTGTGCAAGGAAGGACAGGGTGTAATTCATTTAGTAGCAGCACTGGGTTATGATTGGGCTATAAGACCGATAATGGTTGCTGGTGTAAATGTGAACTTCCGGGATGCTCATGGATGGACTGCACTCCACTGGGCTGCATCTTTGGGAAGGTATGGTTGCACACATTAAAGCTATTTGAAACTGGGATGTCCATGCTTCACTAGAGTTTTATGTAAAAGAAGCTACCTTTATTTCTTTCTCATCCCTTTATCATTCACTTGTTTGTACTTTATTAGGAGCTTGGTCCTTTTTCTATTATTGAACCCCATATTTTATGCTTTTTTAGGGAGCGAACAGTTAGTGTTCTCATAGCAAATGGAGCTGCTGCAGGAGCACTGACTGATCCAACTTCTGAGTTCCCTTCTGGAAGAAGTCCAGCCGGTTTAGCTTCAGTAAATGGACACAAGGGGATTGCTGGTTTTCTCGCAGAATCTGCTTTGACAAGCCATCTGTCAGCACTGACTATTAGAGAATCAAATGATAGCACTGTAGAAGTCTGTGGGTTACCAATTGCTGAAGATCTCACTGGCATTGATTCTGCCCAGCTCTCTGGAGAGGATCCTCATGCTGAATCACTTGAAGGTTCTTTAAGTGCTGTTCGTAAATCCACTCAAGCTGCAGCTCGTATATTTCAAGCCTTCAGGGTGGAGTCATTCCACAGAAAGAAAGTCGTGGAATACGGAGATGGCGACTGTGGATTATCTGATGAACGCACACTTTCACTTGTTTCTCTTAAAAATGCCAAACCAGGACAACATGATACACATCTGCATTCTGCTGCTGTTCGTATACAGAACAAGTTTCGTGGATGGAAGGGAAGAAAGGAGTTTATGATCATTCGCCAGAGAATTGTCAAGTTACAGGTAAAGCTAACATCTAATTATCGATTTTTTTGCTTCTTTATATTATATTCGTTCCTACTACATTTTGCTGACTATTTAGGGTTTGCAAATCACGCCACTTTGTTGGCCTACAATGCTAACACTCCGCAACAATCTTGCATGATTTAGCTAATATAACAGAAGCCTTCTGTTCCACTAACTTGCTTGAATGGTTTTGATGAATCTTTGCTTCCTTCAATAATACATGATCTCTTCTTTCCTTTTTCTTAAGAGCAATTCATCTATTTGAAATAGCACAGTAGTGTAGCTCAAAGATCCTGATGCATGCTACAAACAGCATTCATGAAGCTAGTAGGCTGTTGCTAACCTTTTTTTTTGCACAATTTGTTGCATGGTACACAAACATAAGAATTTGTTCTCTTGTCTTTGGTCTCCCTGTAGTGTGAATACTAAAATTTATCGTAGATATATGTAGCAGCTCAGCCTTCAGAGACAAGGTAGCATGCATCACAGTCAATATTTGTTTGATAATTTTGTATATAGGCTTCATTGTAGAATTTTCATGCTATATTCAATGCAAAGCATGTCATCATTTCCATAAGTTGTAAGCACTTTTGGATGTGGTGTGAGCTGCCAAATCCTTAGTTTCTTCTGACTGACCAAATGTAATGCCATGAATAATGACTTGCAACTCTCAAAATGCCAAATGTCCTGTGCAAGCATTAAGATTTATTAACTTGTCTTTTGTGATCAGGCTCATGTACGAGGACATCAAGTGAGGAAGAACTATCGGAAGGTAGTCTGGTCAGTTGGTATCGTCGAGAAAGTCATACTGAGATGGAGGAGAAAGAGGCCTGGGTTACGCAATTTTCAGCCTCAGAAACAACTAGAAGGTCCATCACAAATCCAGCCTGCAAAGGCCGAGGATGAATACGATTTCTTGCACGACGGCAGAAGGCAGGCAGAAGCCAGGCTACAGAGAGCACTCGCCCGGGTGCGCTCTATGTCGCAGTATCCAGAAGCAAGAGAGCAGTACCACAGGCTCACAACCTGCGTTGCTGAAATGAAACAGTCCAGGGTATGATCTGATCACTCCTATGCTTTGGAAGCTTGCTACAGCCCATGATTTTTTTTGTTTGACCATGATTTGATGCTGGCTACTTTTGAACAGATAATGCAGGATGAGATGCTAAGCGAGGCGGCTGGTGGTGCAGACGATTTCATGGCTGGACTGGAGGACTTGATCTGCATAGATGATACCCCGATGTCTGCCATTTGGTGAAGCTGAGCCTTTTAGATCAGAGATAGGCAGGGAGGCGGTTTCCTTGGTCCCCTTTGTCAGACTAGTCCTGTAAATATTCTTCAGCTAGTTGTTCACCTCTGACTGTTTACTCGCGTTCTGCTAGTACTACTATAACGTAGTTTCATTGCACTGATTATCGGTACAATAATCGCCTCTTATTTGATATAGAGTTTATTTATAACTCAACGTCTTTTTGGTTTTAGCTGTAAATCCTGCATCCGTATCGAGCCATAATGGTGCGAATTTGCGATATCTAAAGCATGGCCCAGTAATACACATCCATCATTGCCAAAGAACAGCATAGTAGTTCTTTTCTACGCTCGGACTTGCAGGTTTAAAAGTACAGTGGTCAGTGTTCTATCGTGGACGAATTGAATTACTATTTGTTGAATTTGATGATCAGGTAGCTCGAAGGTCGTGAATCATCAGTGGAGAACTGGAGACACAGATCGATATGATAAGCTATAAGTCTAGAACACGTTGGTTACCGACACAACCTACAGCGACACGTGGAACCTGCAGCTTTGTCCTTCCTAGACACACGGCTGCACCTGCACCAGTGAATGTCTCACCAGCGTCTTCACGACAAGGAGAAATCAGAGAGCTGAACCAGCTAATCGGATCGGCAAATAAGTGTGGAGCCTCTTTTGGCTTGGCGAACCTGGAAATGCCAATGGCACATTTAGGGAATAGGCACCTACATCAGGGCCAACTTAGAGCACGTCACTTCGGCTTTATCTATATATATATATAAAAAACACCGGATTTCATTTCAAATAAAATTTGGTTTCATACTTTTGTAAGGTACCGGGGCCCATCACAAAGTTAAAATACCTTCGTCAGCTTAGTGACCAGACAAAATACTCGACAGCGGACAGCCAAGCTTTGGCACCCATCTCATCTCATACCAGTTAATTAATGTACAACATGTTATCTGTCATAAGCTGGTTAAAAATAGTAAAACGCGAGTTCTTAGCTGTTAAGTCAGAGGCACACATATAAAATTTGACAAGGTTCTTTCTATAGTACTAGTGTTTCTAGACTCAATCAAAATCCTCCACCCCCACCCCAAATTATCATCTAGGCTTGTGACTTAAAAATTAGTTTTTTGGAAAGGCATCCTCCCAAGTTGGCATTTGGGTCCACGTGTCACGCCCAACAACGGACGGAGCCCACGGCCCGCCAAAAATAGCAACGCCATTTAAACCAGCCCGTCCCCACCATCCCTCCTCGCCTTGCCCAGCGCCCCAGCCCATCGCCCCAGGCCTCAGCGATCGCCGGAGCCCGGGCCCCCCTCGCGCCGGCGGTCGCCGATCATGGCCACCACCCCCGCCGAGGAGCTAACGCGTGGGCTGCCTACCACCCCCTCCGAGGAGCCGGCGCCTGCGCCTAGGCTGCCTACCGCCACCCCCTCCGAGAAGCCGACGCCTGGGCTGCCTCCTCCCAAAGGGCCGGTGGACCAGCCGCGGCGGCGGCGCCCGTGCGTGCTCCTCAGCTTCGCAGCCGCGCGCGACCGCTTCCTCCGGGGCCGGTTCCTCTCCGCGGGCCTCCGCCCCTTCTCCGTCCACCTCCCTTCGCCGGCCGGCACCAGCACCGTGGTCCACCTCTGGGCGCCCCCGCGCCCCGCGCGGCGGCCCGTGCTCCTCCTCCACGGCTTCGGCGCCTCGGCGACGTGGCAGTGGGCCCCGTACCTCCGCAGCCTCCTCGCGGCCGGCCTCGACCCCATCGTCCCGGACCTCCTCTTCTTCGGCGCCTCCTCGTCCACGGTCCCCGACCGGTCCGACACCTTCCAGGCCAGGACCGTGAAGGCCGCCATGGACGGCATGGGCGTGCGCCGGTTCGCCGTCGTCGGCGTCAGCTACGGCGGCTTCGTCGGCTACCGGATGGCGGCCATGTACCCGGAGGCCGTGGAACGGGTGGTCCTGGTGTCGTCGGGGGTGTGCCTGGAGGAGGGGGACCTCGCTGCGGGCCTGTTCCCCGTCGCCGACGTCGGGGAGGCGGCCGAGCTGCTCGTGCCCCGCCGGCCGGCGGAGGTGCGGCGGCTCGTGAAGCTGACCTTCGTCCGGCCTCCACCCATCATGCCCTCCTGCTTCCTCAAGGATTACATCAATGTCCGCTCCTATGATTACTCTCTTCTAATTTTTTTCTGTCAATTTCGTTTTCTTAATTTTGGCTCTTTCACATCTGGATTGATGAATTTGATGATGCATCAGGTGATGGGCTCAGATCATCTTCAGGAGAAGACCGAGCTTCTACATGCTCTCATTAACGATAGGAAACTATCAGATCTTCCAAAGATAAATCAGGTAGCTTACATTTCTCTCTTTACTTGCAAGCAACTCTGAAAATCTTCAACTATTGATGGTGTTCCTGGCCCAACTATGCATGCAGTCAACGTTGATCATTTGGGGAGAGCAGGATCAGGTTTTTCCTATGGAGCTGGCGCATAGGTTGGAGAGGTCAGTTTGGTGCTTCCCTCTGATTTATAAATGGCATGCAGGGTGATCTATCAAACACACATTATCTATTGCTATTTGCTAAACTGCAATTTGATATTATTATTCAGGCATCTTGGGGAGAATTCTAGATTAGTAGTCGTAAAAAACGCTGGGCATGCGGCCAATCTAGAGAAGTCCAAAGAGGTGTGCAAGAGCATCATTGATTTTTTTCAGGAACCGGCTTCAAGTGCTTCAATTGGGGTAAAGGTAGGAATTGGTTGTGGTGCTTCCGATTTGTTAAGAATAAATATGTTATCACAAAAATATTATATAAGGTGATTATATATATTGACCTCCTCACCATCTGTCGTAATAGTTAATAGTTATGTATATCCTTTTTTGCTTGTTAAGTTCAGAAGTTTCATTTCAGTAGTTCAATTGAATTGTTGTTCATATATAAGATCCCGCCAGTCATCAGACTTTATTAGAAATTGATGAAGTGCTTATTTCATAAATACTAGTTGGTTTAATTTGTAGAATCATTAACATTCCTTCTCCTATTAATTCAGGAGGTCAAGCTACAATGATGGTTGGAAATTCTGAGCTAGGACATCTTGTGCTTGGTTCACAATTTTGCCGTTTCCTTGGCTCTTGAACTGTTCTAATCTGTAATTGTAACAAAACCTTTGTAATCACACGGACCATAGAAGTCTCTTGTAAAACGTCTGAGGACTCTTCTGTGCTCAAAGAAGCACACTTTTGACCTGTGAAAGAAGGCTGAGGTCCTGTTTTCCTGACAAGCTAATGCCAAATGCCAATGTGAAACGGCTTCAGTTCCACCACACCCATCTCATCGGTTTCGATGTCATTTTTTTTTATTATATGAAGTTATGATCAATCTCTGAATGTGATATCAAGGGCCTATTTGGCACAGCTCAACTTAATTAGTAAACCCTTTTTTTTTTTGGAAAACAACTTCGTAAGCAACTTTCTAGGTAAAGCTGGGTTATTTTGGAAAAACTGTTTGACAAAACAGCTTCATGCATGGATGGGAGAGAGAAATGAGGGAGAGAGCTGGGATAAGCTACTTTTTTCAGCTTCATCCCAACTCATATCTTTGTGAGAGAGGGAGAAAAACAGCTTCATGGGTGAAGCTATTTTAGAAATGAGTGTTTGGCAAATAAAACAGCTCATGAAGTTGTTGTGAGCTGTGCCAAGCAGGCCCTAAGTATCATAACACTTAGTTTATTTTATATAGAGTTATATAAAAGAGAAACAATAGCCTTGTTACAATGGGCCATAAGGTACAGTAGGTTCGGGAGCCATGGACGATATGATGAACCAGGTCGTCCACAAGCTATGAGCTTGCCTCAGGTCCGGTGACATGTAGACACACATTATTGACACATAGACAATTAGTCACACATCATTAGCAAGCAAGCATATATCATCCTTAAACCCATCTGGTTTATTGTTCCGACGACACAGCAGTTTATAGAGTCCAGACGGCAGTATGTAGTCTGCAATGGTAAGCCAGACAAGGCTCTTACAGCGCAAAGGGCTTGCGGTAGACGTCGAACATCTCCGAGCAGGACAGGTTAGGTTCCTGCAAGACGAGCCATGCATGCATTGCATATATGAGTTGCATGTCAGGGACAGACAACAAAGTCAGTGCTCAGCTCATCAGTATCGCGATGGCCAGAGCCTCACCTGCACGCCGCTGAAGTTTGCGACCTTGCGTGCGGGCGCGCCGGCGCCGATAGGACCCTGCAGCTGGTTGCAGCCGCCGGCGTTGGTCATGATGGCTTTCATGGAGGTGAGCAGGCGGCCGTAGGTGACCCCCTGCGGCTCGCATTCCACCGCCTTGATGAAGCTGTGCGTCATGGCCCCCACCATCGCGCAGGCCTCCGGCGTCTGCAATAGAACATGGCGTGTCGCATGTCAAACCAATCGTAAGAGATCAGAGCGTCAGTTACGTTCATGGCGACCATAGAAGTATAGGATCAGTGTGCACTGACCACGCTGAACTTGGTCTTGCCGTCGCTGTAGCCGCTGATGAGCACCGCCTGGCCGCCGCTCGTGCCCTTGCAGACGCCTGACGGGGGACGGTGATCCTCCCATCGCCGCCAGCAGTTCCGGTCCTGAGACATGTTGCGAGAGGAAGGGGAGGTCGAGGACGGTGGCGCTGTGGCAGGCGTCAACGACGGCGTGCAGCTTGGCGCCGTGCACCAGCGGGCGGACGATGGTCTCGTTGATCTCGTCGTCCAGGATGGGGCCCTTCTGGAACAAGTCCAGCGGGCAGATGGCCTCGTCGTACGCGTCCAGCTCGTCGCAGTCCTCGTCGGCGACCTGCGCGCCCAGCCCGGAGAAATGGAACACCAGGGAGTCGCCGTTGCTGCACCCCTGCACCAGCCATTGCATCGCCATGCGGATGTTGTCCTTGGTCGGCAGCCTGAACGGGTCCTTCTGGTCATCTGCACACACCGGAGTTGCCCCCATGCATCAATTAGTTTCTTGAGAGAGATCGAAATGCATGGACGATTGCATCCAGTGAGCATGATGATGCCGTCGCCGACTTCATTGGGGAAAGGCGGTTACCGGCGAGGAGCTGCCTCATGCACTTGAGCGTCGTTGATGGGTCCCCTCGGCTGGCGCAGCCCCCGCGACGAGATGCCGATCAGGGACCGGCAAGGCTTCTGCCGCGGGCGCACGGGAAGGCGCCCATGGGCGCCGCCCCCAGCCTCGTCGGCTCCGGCAACGGGAGCCGCGAGGACACCGACCGCCGGATGCGCGTCACGCCGCAGCATTGCGTGCACTGGACGGCGCGCTCGCCGGGGCACACAGTGAGGCATGCGCTGCAGTACTTGCACCGGATCGTCGCCGGGGTCCTGCTACCCATGTTCATGGCGAAGCTCGGAGCTTTGCTTGCGCTGCTTGGTACGCGTTGCTTGATAGCTCCTCGTTTAGCTTGCCCTCAGACTCCTGCATTCCTCCCCTTTATAGCAACTGAAATTCCCAAACTACTGTTACCAGATGCTGCTGCCGAAGATTGTTCCTTTTTTTTTCAAAGATGCGGACATGGTGTCCCTTGTTTATGTAATTGATGATCATTAGGGTGGAGTGGGAAAAGATTTGCGTGGAAGTGATCTCCGAATGGGCAAATGATTTGAGTGGAACTGAGCATATTTTGTCCCCGAAGGATCATTTGTTATTGGGCTTTTGCTGCTGTTTTTGTTGAATAATTTATTTTCTCTAATCTGTGAAAAAATTGTGTCCGCTGGGTTGCTTTGAGATACTTTGGGTGGTATATAGTTGTCACAGCCACGGAAAAACATAAAATTTGAGCGATATGCTTTCACTCGAAAGGTACCTCTAGGCTCTAGCTACATGCATTCCTTTTTCTTAAAAAAATATATCGTCCTTAGCTTTATATCTTGTAAAAAACTACAAAATGTTGTGGTCGTAAGATTCTAGTAAACACTACGCGACTTTAATTTGAAGCACAAAAGGATCCTACCGCGTATATATTACAATCAGAAAAGGTGTACAAACATTTAAAAAAATACATTGCACAAGGTTATTATTTAGCCGTTGTTTAGTGGAAAATGAAATTCGAGCCTTGGCCCCCTGCGTAATTGTTGACGCTAAATTTGATCAGCAGACATCGGTAGAGGCTAAATCGTCCGAAGCTAGCTGCATAAGGCCTAGACACGCAGGGAAGCTAGGTCTAAACACCGAAGCCGACCAGCATGTCAATTAGACTGATTTGACGCTTGTTGTTTGCTCGATAAACGTATGAACATCTCTCGGGAAGACCATCGAGGATCGCCTAGTCCGTTAAGACGCAGGGAAGCTAGGTCCAACGACAAACACCGAACGGCCGACCAGCATGTCAATTATGAGGTCTCTGATGTTGACGCTTGTTGTCGAATTGCTCGATAAACGTATAAAATAGGTAAAAAATCTCTAATTCACAGGAAGACCATCGAATGTTTTGAGTCAAGACCATATTTGAACCTAAATAGAACTAGAACGCCAAATTGAAATTCATCGTCTAAAGAAGTGTTACTCAACAAGGGGTTTGAAAAAAATTTAAGGTAGAAGATAGAAAGTAACTCTCATATAAATAGAGGGACGTTATCTTACCTCAGTAGTAAACTTATTCCACAAGAGATCTACATCGGATCTACTAGTCCCACGAGATGAGATGAGTTCCAAAAGAAAAAAACACGTTTTGAGGCTCGGACCGCCAAAAATGGCACAGGACCGCCTAGGCCGGTTTAAACAGCACTACAGGATACTGTGTATTTATCGAGTGTGAGTAACACTCGGCAAATAGTGCTACATACTCGGCAAACTCTTTACCGAGTGCCACAATCGGTAAAGTGGACTCGGCAAACAACGACTCGGTGAAGTTATTTTACCGAGTGTCTAATATCGGCGCACTCGGAGCAGAGCGTTACCGAGTGCTACAACGACACTCGGTAAACAATTATGACTTGACGGTCGTCAGCCTCCAAACTGACCGTTAACGGCGACGTTTACCGAGTGTCACTAGCAGCACTCGGTAAATAAATTAGCATTTCGTGATTAAAACAATTCCGCAAATAAATTTTTTGAATAATGTTTATCGAGTGTAGCTCCTAACACTCGGTAAAAGAATAACCATTTTCGTGATTAAAACAATTCCGTAAATAAACTTCAGGAATAATGTGTACCGAGTGTTCCCACTCGATAAAAAGTAGTCAAATATTTTCGAGTGGGGACGCGGCACTTTCGGTAAAAATGGCACACTCGGCAAAATTCACGAATCAGAACCAATTTGGTTACGTTTTCATTTGTTTTACCGAAAGTGTTACACTCGGTAAAACCGACAAAATCTCTATTTTACCGAGTGCTACACTGTCGATAAAATATGTCCACGTAATTTTTTTTGTTTGTTTCAAAGTGCATATCCAATCACAATAAGCAACAAAATCACAGGAAATTATAATAACATGACAGATAGGCAATATATATCACATATATGTCCACAAATGTCACATCCCCTCACAATAACCAACATATGTCGACAAGCACCATGCAAAGTCCACAAACACCATCAACATATGTCCAAAGTCCACAAAGTTCAACCAAGTCCACAGTTCAACATACAAACGTATCAAACAAGGTCGGATGGCCTGTCACATGGTCGGAGGCTCATGGAGAAAGGAGTCAAGTCCGGTCTTGATCACCTGCATATCGTTGTTCGATCCAGCTATAGAAGGTCTCTAGAATGAGATTGCACATGTGAGTTATCTGGATCAAAGCAAATTCTAAGGTCTAAGCTATGGTAGGTCAAACTAAGGTATAAGTCGAAGGTAGCTCTATATGACACAAAAGTGAAGAGTGCATCTAAGTGACTCACAGGAGTGCCGTCGCGCGGAGGTGGAGGCACCAACGGTATCATCGGCGGCGGCGGAGGCGGTGGAGGCTGGCCCATGCTCTAAGAAAACGGGCCATGTACTCGTACCCAGTCCCCAGGCGCTTTCTTGGGAAGGCCTCAAGCTGGGCTGCACACTCGCGCCTCTCTCCTGCCAACTCGGCCTGGTGCGACAGCTCGAGGGCCTAAAGCTGGCTCTGTGAAGCCTGTTGTGACTCCTGTAGGGCTTCAATCTGGGCCTATAATTATTTATCACATAGTTAGAATGCAAATAAAGAACGAGTAGAAAATGAATGGACAACGAATGCAACAGAACTAACCTGGAGTGCTACCACCTGGGGCTGTGAGCGTGTGCGTATGGCCGGACTCAAACTCGTGCTCTGAGCTCTAATTTGGGCGAGTGTCCGAGTGTTGGCCGTGTCTATGGTGTTGTTGTTGCATATAGTACCACCCATGTGGCTTTACCGGTCCCAACCTCATGATGATGTCACCCTCGAGGTCGTGCCGGTGCTCGGATCAAATTCGACCCATGGATCTCTCTCGCCATCGCCGTGTACTCATTGAGGCGCTTTGTGCACTTCGGGTTCTTTGTATGCCTCGGGCGGGTCCTCCGGGTTGTAGACGAGGTCGGGGTCCTTTGCCTTGCCCTTGTGTGCCAAGGCATATGCCTTGAACGAGGCGCACTCTGGCCGGGTGGAACCGCGTCTGCAGGAAGAAGCACAACAATAAGATATTATGCATTCAGAAGTTAGCATAGCAACAACGAAATGAAATCCGCGTACATATCTGGCTGCATATTCCTTGAGGGTAGTGGGGCCTTGTTTGTGCGAGGAACCCCGCATCATCGCCGCGGCAACATGAGCGCACTGACGTGATATTGCTCGTACTCCTCACTCAACCACTTGTCCACAATGGCCTCCCAGCAGCTTGTCCATCCCCGCACACCAAGCAGGAGGCACCGTGACGCATCTACGAGCACATGACAAATCATAAATCGATTTGATTGCAATTAATCGCAGACGATGTAATCTCATGTTTACCGTCAAGTATTGCTCCTTAGTCGGGTAGGTGCACCGCTGCTGCGCTCTGGTGACTCTGTGTCCTCTGCGGGCATGGTAAATTCTTCGCACAGGAGCTTTGTCTCATAGAAGAGGTCCGCACTCGGTGAACATGCACTGTTCACCACGTCATCCGCGTCCTCCCACGTACTCCCTCCGCCAAGGTGTAGTAATCCTACAAGCAAATACTGATCAAGTAATATACAATTAATGTGATGTTATTATCAAGATAGTGCAATGAACACGCACTCCACAACTCTTTCATCATCCGGTCGGCCTTCTTTGTTATAACACCCGCCACTCGATCGGTCGGATCATTTGGCGGCGTGCTGATGGGACCACTTCATGGCGGGCTGCACAACACCATCGATCCTCACCATGCGGGGTAGTTTGCCCTGCACGAAGACCCAGGATCCCGTTTACTCGGCGAGAGTGACTCCTGGGATCACCATTTCCCAATCCTCGCACAAAGTTATTGAGATTGAATATTAGTTTCTGTTATAACTTAAAACCTATGAAGTAGTGTTAACATGCAAAATTACTTACTTAGTTCCGGAGGGTCGAATCCTTGGCCGTCTCTCAGTAGTGGGTAAGTGCGGGAGGCGCGACGACCCTCGCATGCCCAAACCGTAGGCACCCCATTTTTCTCTCTGCCCGACAAGTCGGCATCCTCTCGCGCTCAGCCCGCTCAGCCTCATCCTCCCTCCGTGCCTCCTCCACCGCCTCCGCTATCTCCTCCCTGGTCTCCTCCTCCTCATCCTCCTCCGTGGCCGCTACGAACTCATCGTCGTCGTCCTATGGAGGAGGTGTCGGCTCTCGACGCCCTTGTCATCGCCGTCGTCCTCCTCCACCCTGGGCTCCTCCTCCACCCTGGGCTCCACCTCCACCTTGGGCTCCACCTCCCTAGGCACGACCTCGTCGTCGTCCTCCTCCTCCTCCCTAGGCACGCCCTCCACCCTCAGTCTGTGCACGCCCTCCTCCTCCACCCTGGCTG